CAACAACAGGCAAGTTTACAATTTACATTAAGGGCCCATCAAACTTACTTAGCTGCAGCTGGTGTTACAGGTTATAATAAATGGCCCTTGTTGGCAGCTGTGCTTGGCATAATATTAATTTTTAGCCAGTACTAGACTGTGAGCAGTCTGTCTTTTGGTTGTTTAAGATTCGCAAGAGAATAAATGCAAAGCAATGAGGTGAGGTGAGTGGTGAAACCGCATGCCTCGAGTAGCGCAGGTGTTGGAAGACAAGCAAAAACAAGTTGCAGCTTGTGGCTTTGCCACTCACCTCTGTTCATTAACGTTCTTCAGATTTTCCAACAAAAAAGAGACTCCTCACAGTTTAAGCCAATACTACATTTACCTTCGACCTTTTGTTCAAAGGAAGTTTGAGCAGCAGCTATCCCAAACACACATGTATACATGCAAATTTTTATTAAGATTTGTCATTCAATAATCATTTAAATATCTTTTTGGAGTGCAGCATACTGTACAATCATGTATTTTTATTAATGGAATGTCAAAAGAACATTGTACCATGTCTGCTAGAAGTAACTGCCAAAGTGTTTTTCTGTTCTTTCTTTTTAGTATAGATAGACTAGGAGTATAATAATTATTGCCATTTCTCCTGAATTGAATGCCAATCCATCACAAGGTTTACATGTAGTTGCAGCCTTTTTGTTAGCTCTCTTTAGCAACTTGCTCATACCCATTTATACTCTTGGGTGGCGAGAGAGAGAGAGTGATTGTTGGGAGAGTTAGATATCTTGCCTGTTAGAATACATGTACTGTACATGTACAATTCAATAACCCCTGCCAGACGCAATCCTGGGCTTCTTGAACTAGAGTTTTGCAGGCTTATGTGGTGTACTGTTGGGTTGTCACAAAGGCTTGAGGTAATGTGGGCACTTTATTGTTGGGGTATGGGCACCTGATTTTGCCAATTGTTTGTGAAATGAATCAGATGTCTTTGAAAAGCATCAGATAAATAGCCCTGTAGAGTAGCCGTCAGGTCTTGTTCAAAGTGTATGGTGGTTTTGGCCATCAGCCATCTAGTACCCACTGTACATGGCTGTACTTTTTGACCGCCCTGTGCTGGCAAGTCACTAACCAGTAAGAAGGATACAGTCATGTGTTAATAAAACTATCCAGTGAGTATGCTATGATTGTTGATTGTTTGGTGTTCTCCTTACTATATATTCAGAAACTCCGAGCAGCTCAGAACCTGATGTCTCCCGTATTGATTTCCGGGTGGGTAGAATTTTGTCAGCCAAGCACCATCCTGATGCAGATACACTGTTTGTGGAAGAGAGTAAGTTGTAATCCAGTAGATGTAAATGCAGCCTTGGAAAATGTACATACATGTAAAGATGTACACTGTACATAATTTGTATAACATTTGGTCAAGAAAGGATAAATCTTGGAATGTGTGTAGACATTTATTTGGTACGCCTTATCTAGCAAATTTGGTTTGTGTTGCATTGCACTTCTACTATCATGAAAGATTAGATATTCTAAGAGAGTGCTAGTTATCATTAACCACGACATTTGCTCAAGCCTGCAGAAATGTGAACAGGCTCCCAACTTGGGTATAAGGTGACCAATACGTTGAGCAAGAGGAGGGCATTCTTCCTTCCTAGACTACTCTGAGTTGCCTTTGCTCACCAATTTGCCACAAGGGAGTCTGATAATGGCCCACAGTGTAAAATTCCTCCAGAAAAATTCCGTAGTGTAAAATTCCACCAGACTAGTCTGGATATTTGGACCCCTGCCGAAAAAGGAAAATTTTAAAGAAAGATTTTCTCTCTGGATCATATCATTAAACACAGAACATTGATAATGTTGGATTATGTTATGTTGAACCACATATTCTCAGGCACTGGTCTCTTTTTCCACCTTACCTCCTAACCCCCTTCCTCTTGCCCTTTATTTGCCAGTAGCCTGAATGATATCATTTATAATCTTTGAATTTAAAAAAACTGCTATAATCATTCCTTGCTCTCCAGATGACTACATGTATTTCATACCCCATAGATGTAGATTGGCCCCTGCTATTCCTAGTTGCTACTAACAGTTTGTACCTGTATGCTCACATCATTAATCAAAACATATGAAAACAAGGAGGGTGAGTTGTGTATTCATGCCTCTTTTGTTTCAGTTGATGTTGGGGAAGAAACGCCCAGGACAGTTTGCAGTGGCCTTGTGGGATCAGTGCCACTAGAAGAACTTCAGGTATGGCCATTTAATAGCAATGAAAGAATGGAGCTGAAAAAACAAAACAAACAAAACAAAACAAACAAAAACAAAAAAACTAGTAGTTGTACATTTGACATGTACATGTACGAGGCATTTTTGTGCAAACTGTCCTTATGAAATGTTACTGTTACAGTGGTGTGCAATATTAAACTATTGACCATTACACTGTATAACTACTTTCATGAACATTTTCGCTGATATGTGCCTAGGCTTGATTTCAGCTATTTTGGGGTCCTGGTGCGAACCTCCTCCCAGTGTGGGGTAAAGAATGCAGGCTCATAGAACAGCTGGAAATCAAGCCTGATGTGTCCCAGAACCCCCATGGCCTTGCTTTTCTGATTGAGATGTACACTTGTTCTCCTTAAATTCTCTTTAGGATAGTGTGGTAATAGTGATGTGCAACCTCAAACCAGTGAAGTAAGTTTACTTATTGATTTTTTAACATACATGTAATGTAGTTAATTTTTTTTCTCTCAAATGAATGTTGTACTATGAAAACCAAAGCACACGCAGTCACAAAGAAAATTGCTGTGGCTGTAAATTGCACTAATAGAAGAACTATGCCCCAGTTGCTCGACGGCTGACTAACGCTGCCGTCTGGTTAAATCACTATCCAGCA